CCCCTCTCCCATCGATCGCTAGCTGAGGGCGCTAGTGAGCCACTCCATTGGCTCAGCTATCACGCCAGGCAGCTTGGCCATCAACAAGGTCTTGTCGTCCAGATCTCTCGTCATGCACACGGCCGCCCTCTCCACCTGCTGCGTGCCGCCGAAACGCGACGGCTCCTTCCTGGGCTGCTTCTCGACAAACAGAGACCGGTACCCCAGCCGCTCGTACAGCTGAATGGCCGGCGTGTTCACTTGGTCGACGAACAAATACACCGACGTCAAGCCCCATCTGGCCGCAACCTTCTCACACTCGCGGCAGAGCTTCTGCCCTATGCCCTGCCGCCTCGCCTGCGGGGCAACCACAAGACCACTTATCACTGCCACGTTTGGCGCTTGACTAGCTCCAGAGGAGGACCCATCCTTGGCAGCAGTGGCAGTGGCAGCGGCTGCTGATAGTTTCCCACTGTCGATTTCGCTGCGCAGCCTGGTGCCCTTCTTCGCTTTCATGAGCTCCATGTTGACGCACCCAAGGAGAGCGTTAGTGCGGGGATCTTTGGCGGCGAGGACCACACCGTCCTGAACGATCCTGTTGGGTCCGATCAGCTCGATGAGACCGTTGTAGACGTACTTGTCCAGCTCGGCCACCTGCAGCTCACGCAGCCGGCCCTGAGCACCCCAGTTGGACATCACGTAGAAGAGGCTCAGCGCCTTCAAATCCCTGCGAACACACAAGCACCGGGAATGAATGAATCGAGCGAGATTTACCGTGCAAATGAGCCACTAGCTTACTGGAAGGGCACCTCTTCGACACGGACGCGGCCGGGGGGCGAGCTCCTGGTTGGCTGCTCGAAGGCCTTGGATGAGAGCGCCTTGCTGCCGACCGTAGCGGAGGACTTCGTCAGTCGGCCTCGCTGGGCGAGAGACCGACGACGGGGGAGAGCAAGAGGGGCAGGTTGAAAAGCTCCGTGTGATGGTTGCCGGCCTTGGCGTTGATGCCTTGTTTGCTGCGGGACCTTCACTGCCTGAAGGGCTGCCACACACGTCAACGGCAAGGCGACAGCAAGCAGCAGGATCACCAACACGGCGGCAAGAAGCATTGGAGGACGACATTGGTCATGATGAGAGCTCCGCTGCTGCTTCCCCTTCATTGAAGAGGACCGGACCTTGATAGATCAGCAGCGGCAGACGGAAGAACGTCCTTTTCTCCTTTGGATGACAAGTGTCTTCCGCTGCCGCCCTTTTTGCCCTTCTCTATCCATTGCCGGCTTTGTCTGCATGCGCGAGCTCGGGGGGGAGAGGGGGCGCGAGCTTGCCGTCTTAGTGACAGTCCTTTCCCCCCTTCTTCCTCCGAACCCGGCATCAAATTTCATTCTACACCAAGCGAACAGGCGGCCCTTGTACCGCCCCACGTCATTTGGGAACTCGTCAGCCATGTCGAGTGATGTTGGAGTAGAGGACCCATCTGGCGTCCAGCCGGGTGCAAGTCAGGAGGGCGGGTTCAAGTTCCTCACGGCCGTCAACCTGCGGCCCGAGGATGACCCCGCCACGAGGCGCCGTTCCATCCTCGACAGCGTCAAGGGCGGCACCAAGATTCTTGACCTCTATGGCGACCTGAACGAACTCGTCAGGACACTCGATGACAGGTCAGGCAGGGAGAGCAATATGTACCACCGTTGGCACCGAGGCCATCCATTCATGCATGCGCATGCCTTGCTTGTGTTTGTATGAGTTGATTGGTTGGTTGCTTGTGTCTGGTTGTTTGGCTGGATGCATTGCAGGGTGGAGAAGTTGCTGGAGGACCACGAGAATGACTTTTTCCTGGCGTACAAGACCCACATGTATTCGGTTCAGAAGGAGTTCAAGGCGCTCAAGCAGAAGGCCGACATCGAGGAGGCCAAGACCAGACGAGACACGCGCATCAAGTCACTCGAAAAAGAACTAGAGTGAGTGAGTCACACCGGCCGACAAGACAGCACAGATGGATGGATGGATGGATGGATCCCACGAGTCCTCCTTGTCTGTCGGTTGCATTGCAGGTGGTTCATGACTGAGGCGTTGCGTCTGGATGAGCTGTGCAAGAGCTACAAGCGTGACGTCGACAAGTGGAAGGCCAAGGCTGAGGCACTCGAGGAGGACCGACGCTTCCTGGAGGACCAAATCAAGGGATCCAAGAGGCAAAACAAAGTCCTCAAGGCCGCCGTCGAGAGGGCCCAGAACAACGCATACCACGCACTTGTCCTGAGCCAGACCAGCCCACCTGCACCGGCATTGACGGGCGGTGCGGACACTCACCAGCCGCCAGCGTCTCTCCCTGCTGTGTCCACACGCCCACGAGAAGACACTCAAGACCGCGGAGCTTCCGCCCCTTCGATGTCCACCAAACTGGTGGGCCCGGTAGTGCACGAGACGATCGATGAGGGGCGCGGGGCGACCTATGTTGGCGAGGACGGGATCGGCATGGGCATGGGCATGGGCATGGGTGCGGCGGGTGAGGAGCTGGAGGGGCGGTACGTGGAGCAGATCAACAAACTCAAGGCACAAGTGGAGAAACAAAAGAAAACCATCAGGTCAGCTCAGGGGGGGGGGTCGTCTCGCGGCGCGGCGCGGCATGCGATTCGATTCGTGATTGGGATATGTACGAACGTAACATGTGTGTGGCTGGGCTGCACTGCAGGACTCTGCGTACATCTGCGTCTCACGCGTACGGAGAACGTTCAGAGTTGGAGGAATTTTTCCTCAAGTGCATCGATGAGGTGCGTCGCGAGATATCCCGCCGCAGACACAGGGCCCGTCAGTACCACACGCAGCTGCTGCAGAAGTCCATCGACAGCTCCACCAGCAAAGAGGGGGCTGCCGCAGACACGGACAAGTCGCCCAGACCTGAAGGTGCGGAGGTGTCAGTCACGTCATAGACAACGTCACAATGCACACCACACGCACAATGTGTCTGTCTCGTGTTGGCATGTGTTGGGTGATTGATTCATGGATGCGATGAGAGCAGAGGCGGGGTCCATCCCTTTGGACAGCTTCACCACGGCTGACCGCCGTAAGGCAATCGAACTCCTCCTCTCATCGGAAACAGTCCTGGTGAATATGATGGGTGGCCGAGACACAGACAGACAGACACCCACGCACCCCTCTGTGTCATACCATCGATGCGTGTATGCAGGTGCACTTGTACGAGAAGATGTTCCCCCACCGTGCGTCAGGGGTGCCCATGGGCGCCACCAAGGACCGCAGCGGGCGAGACGGCGTCTACAAGGTCCGCAGCAGCAACAGTGGCTCGCCCAAGGCGGCTGGAGGGCTGCATAACACAACCAAGAGCTCGTCAGACCCCCCGTGGACCTCTCCCAGCGAGTTCCTGCCGCCCATTGTGGCCGACAGTGAGCCGCCTGCCAGCTCCCAGAACAATGGCATTGGTGTGTGAGGGTGTGGTATGCACATTTGTGTGTGTGTGTGTGATGGATGGATGGATGCATTGATTGAATGTCTATCAATGACTGACCTGGTGAAACACACCCACAGCACAGCACAGCACACGGCCGTTGGCTGAATCATCCCGTGGATCCGGAATGTCAAGCAGCTAGGCTGTGCCTCCACACACACAAACACACACACACACACGAGTTCACTTGCGATCGATATCCACGTGCGATGGACCGACAGCACACACACACAGCCGGGAACATATCCGGCAGGCAGGCACACAGACAGACAGACAGGCAGAGAGGGAGAGAGAAAGAGATCAGTGTGCATCAACGCCGGAGAGGCATGGTGATCTTCTCCCGCCTTCTTCCCCCCTTGCACCAATGCACATGGCTAGTGACCACCTCAGCGTCCTATATCTAGCCACAACGACACACGGCACAGCAACCAGGGCCAGTAAAGCAAACACATATGCGGCAAGACACAAAACGAGCAGCCACCGGACCACACACACGGGGAGGAAGGGGGAGAGGGAGGCCAGCAGCGACTGAACGGTCGCCTGCATATTGTCTTCCAAGGCGCTCGACGCTCTGTCACATCACATTCACGGGCAGACGGACAGACAGACAGACGGAGACACATTCACGCCGCTGCTCTACGTGTGTACGTGTGTGTGTGTGTGTGTGTGTCTTAGCGTGTTTGGATACGCGCTTACTCATAGAAACTGCGGAATAGTGGAGATTCCACCCCCTGCCTGCCCCACAGCAAATAAATAACCCTGTACACACACACACCCAGAAGCACACATACGGTATGGCCATAGCTAAGACGCCCATCCCATCCTTCCACAGTGGCCGTGCCTGGCCTTTTGTCAGACCTTGCATCTATGTTGGTGATGAGTGTCCAGGGCATGTACTCGTCGAACGGGTCGTCACTGTCGGTGATGACCGCCCCACCCGCCACAAACAGACCACTCAACGTGTAGACCAGCTCATATCCCACATCCTGAGCACATGGCCGATCCGTCCATCCATCCATCCATCCCTCTTGCTCGTTCACCTGCCATTCAGTGTGTGCCTCGGCCACTTGCGCCCTTATCAGCAGGCCATCGTCCCCACTTTGATATCCCCCCCCTCCCCCCACCAAGAGAACATAGTCACCCGCTCGGACCTCACGTGCCGCAATAGAGCGCCACCGCGTCTCGTCCCCACAGCCACCGTCATAGTCATCATCATTATCAGCCGATGGCATAGCAACATGAGACCCGTTCGCTGTATCCCCGATAATCTGATGATGCCGCTGTGAAGGACAGACACCTCTGTTTGGCGGCGGCCGACACACAGGCAGCCTGTGGGATGGTGATAGCACCAGCCGCCGGTGGCCTGGTTCAAACATGAGTGCAGTGGCCCTGGTCAGCTCCTCGGCATAGCTACGCCGATAATACACCTCAGTGAAGGCCGGCCGCCGTCTTCCAGTCCCCCCTGCAGTCATGACGCGATCCCCCACTTGCAACATCGACACGGGCACCGTCTCCGCCCGGCCTCCGTCCTCACTCAGCCGCACCACCGGCATAAAGGACGCCACACATGCCTTTGGTGGGGGTGGCCTGGAGGGCGGCTTCTTGGGCGGTGGGGGGGGAGGAGGGGGCGGCTTCCGCGGCTCGGGCCTGCGCCACTGGTAGTAGGACTCGACACACTTCATGTAGGGCGGTGTTCGCGGCACCCATTTGCCGTACAGGCACTGGAACCGCTTGTGGTCGAAGGCCGTGTCCCCAGCATAGGTCCTCTCTGCCACAGGGTCGGTGTGGTGTCCCCTACTCCAGAACCACTTGTACTTGTCCCTCACGTATCGGTTGCCCATGTCCTGCTTGCCCGTGAGCTGGGCCTTCAGGGGCTCTGCGCGGCTGCCCGACCAGCAGAAGGCATAAAACACGCTGCCGTGCCGTCTCAGCCACGGGTTCTTGTGCCACAGAGATCTGAGGTCAGCCGCACTCGTGGCGTCCTCGTTCTGGCGGGCCACTGCGTCGAGGTTGAAGCGGGTGTGGGAGTCGCCCTCGATGGACGTCGGGAAGGGACACTCCTCTGTTGTTGTGTAGATAGATAGATAAAAGCACACAGGAGGGGAGGCCCCCGGGGGGATGTTGATACATACCTGTGTCTGTCTCGTTGTCTGTGGTCACGGTGCCATGCTCACTTACTGTAGCAGACGAACGGCATGTTGGTGAAGAAGCCCCCCGAGCAGGTGACCTTTGCGGCCGGCCTGCTGTTCCACTTGCCCTGCTGTGGCTCAGGCAGGTACCCCTCCTTGCACCGAACATGAGCCGAGTATCCCGGGTAGATGAGCCCGCTCTCGACCTTGCCTGCCGTAGCGCCCTTGCTCGTGTTGTAGGCCTCAGACCCCTCGAAAAACTGGTACTCGTCGCCCAGAGGGGTGCACATGGCTATGCATGCAGCATGCATAATTCAATTGCATACACAGACAGACAGACAGACAGACAGGTAGAGAGATATATACATATGGAGTCTGTGTGTGTATACGTCTGCATTCGATGTCAGGCTTGGTCCATGTGCCGTCAGAGCACTGAGACACGGCCTCCTTCGGGCCCTCATTGTCGATCGTCGCCCAGTTCCACCTGAAGACCACGAATCATATGCACATGTCCACAGAACACTCACCCACACAGCCCTCCTTTCCCCCCAACATTGTTTACTCACGTGCATTCGGTGGTTGGCCTATTGGGGTCGTCCCCCTGCAGCACCTTCTCGCCCGCCACACAGCACTTGAGGGTCCTTTTGGCTCCGTGCTGGACCGAGGCGAAGAGGCTGTCGGCCATGCTGGGAATGTGCACGCGGCCGACCCCCGCGTCGAGCACAATGTGGGCGGGGCCGAACATGACGTCCGTCTCGACCTCATTCTCGGGCGCATACTCGGGGCAGCTGCCTGACGGACATACAAATATCCAGCCATTGACAGACAGCACTGTCTGTGGAGCCGGCGGGCGCGTTGTCGGCGTGTGTCTCTCTCTGTCTCTGTGTGTGTGCATGGCTGGTTGATCGTGACGTACGGTAGCAGTTGAGCTCCCTGGCGGTCCACCTGCCGCCCGCACAGCGGATCTCCTGACGGGCCTTGGGGCCTGGCACACCAGAGGGGAGGGGGTCCAGCTGACCCTGAACCACACAACATCCAACATGCATTCACTCAGGACCAGTGCATTCACTGGTCGCTTGGTTGAGTACGGGTGAGGTGAATATGTGGCAGGTGATGTTGAATGCTGAGCCGACGATGTCCACCCCATGGTATCCCTCCACCACGTAGCGCGAGTCGTCAAGCGCCAAGGGATCGTTCTCCTTCAGAAACTCGTAATACGGCGGGCAGTGCGCTGACACGACACACATACATGCGCACACGACGGACGACATCGATGTGCATCGATCGCCTCTCTCTCTGTATATGTGTTTCCTTCTCTATCTATGTGTAGCATGTTTGCCGACGGTCGCATCTGAGGGCGGGCGGCCACCATGGGCCGTCGTTGCATTCGATCCTCTCCGGCTCATATCCCGCGCCGGGCGAGAAGCCCTCAGCACAAGTGACGTGGGCGACGCTGCCGTGTGTGGTGCCGCTCGCCTCTATCACATACGCATGGGGCTTCTCAAGAGTCGGGATCAGCATCTTGACCGGATCACCGCAGCTCTCTGAGATGAGAGAGAGGCGCATACAAAGATCGGGAGATGGCCTGTGTGGACACACACGTTGGTGGGCGTGTGTATGTGTGTGTATTTTTGCAGTAGATTGAGGTATCCGTCCACTGTCCGTCCCAGCAGGTGGCGAAGTCGAAGGGCTGTTTGACGATTGACGTCACGTCCATGTCAGTGTTGCACCGGATCACATAGCGGAACCCGTGCAGGTACAGAGGCACCGCCTTGCTGCCCTTGGGCGGCTCGTACTCGTCCGCAAAGAGAGACGACTTGACGTCCTTGAGCTCCCTCGGCGGCCCTTTGTCGATGGCCCGCAGCTCGGCCAGCTCCTGTGTCTCGGTGATGGGGTTGTCTGAGGCCTCCTGTGCCTCGTACCGCCGCGTGTCCTCATTGATGCGCGCCTTCTGCAGATTGAACTCTTCACGGCAGGGCGCTGGATGACACACAAAAGGGTGTGAAAGAGACAGACCGAGATCTGTCTGTATCTGGGGGTGTGAGGGGGTGTGAAGGTTGCTGGCTGACTGAAGCATTGAAGGGTGGGTATGGACCACCTGCCGTCCCTGCACTTGATTTCTTCCTCCTGAGGGAAGGGGTGCGGCTCGTACTCCTCCTTGCACCGCAGACGCAGCGCCGAACCATGCCGGTAGATCCGATCGCCCGTCTCCCTGGTCGACATCGCGTAGTAGCGGTTCACCTTCTCGTCCTGTCGGTGAGTGAGAGAAACGCACAGCAACCAAATGGGATAGGCTTGCGGCTTCGGCCTGGCCTGTATGCTGACTGACGTCGGTGAGGTTTTGTTCCTTTTTGCAGAACATGGCCGGCTCGCACACCATCCTCTCGCGTTGGGGGGGCACAAATGCAGGGCAACGAGCTGACATACACACCGCACCGCAGCGGGGTCATCAATATGTGCTGTCTGTATCTATCTTTCTCTGTCTGTCTGTGGTCAGACTGACCATGGCACGACACGCGCAGTTGCGTCCAGACGCCGTCGTTGCAGCGAACGACACAGTACTTGTTGTCCTTGTCGCAGAAGGGCAAATCAAGCTGTCCATCGGCCTGCATCTGCGGACGCTCCGTGGGGTAGTCGCTGTTGATGCACTCGACTTTGATCATATCGCCGTCGTCATAATTGTCGCCCGACTTGCGTACGAAAGGGCTGCCCGGGGGGTGGGGGGGTAGAGGGGCGCCTCGGCCTCGCTCGTCGAGGGGATGGTCCGGTGATATGACTCGTCAACGTGCTCGTGGCCGAGGTAGGTCACCCTGTAATATGTGGAGTCCAGGGGGTAGAATGCCGTCGACTTGCACTGCCCTGAATGAATGAACGGAATGCCAGCCAACAGAAAGAGGGATTTGGGTAATGTTTTCTTCTGTGTCGGTTCGGTCGGTCGGCTTACTGACTTCTGCATTTGATTTCTTGTCTGGTCCACTTTCCGTCTTGGCAGGCCACCACGTCGCCAGTGCTGGCGTGCCAGTCGGGGTCGCTCCATTCGGCTGCACAGGTGATGTACCTCCTGCTGCCGTGGCTGAAGTGCTCGATGACGCCGTCGAGGGCCGACTGCATCTTGCGGGGGTTGTCGATGTACTCGAGGCCGATCTGGTCCACATTAACCGTCGGGGGGACGTGCGCCTTGGTGTGGCTGATCACATGGCCCTCCTGCCCGTAGGGCGAATGGTAAGGCAAACAGCGCTCTGAATGAACAACCAGATAGATGTACACGAGTGCGTGTATGAGTGAGTCTCTGTGTGTGTCTGTGCGGTGACATACATACTTCTGCACTGGATGGAGACGTGTGGGAATGCGCCGTCGGTGCAGGTGAGTGTCTGGACTTTGCCTGGCGGGTCCGGGGATATGGCCGTGAAGCTCTCGAAGGGATTGTCAGCCACTGCACACCATACCCCCAAGTGGCAGGCAGGCAGGCCAATGCCACACACAAACGTACAGGTAGAGAGCTATGGGTGTGTGTGTGTATGTTTGAGGTGCGTGTCCCTCCCTCCCTCCGTCCCTCCCTGGCTGGGTCACCTTGGCAAGTGACTTTGATGGTGTCTCCATTGCTGTAGGTCTCCTTGGTCTCGCGAACATTGACCAGCACCACACCGTGGGGCGGCTGCCGATGCTCAAACGGATCGCTGCACGTCGCTGCAGACAGACACATACACACCTCTCATCGGCAGGCTCTTCCCATCCTTTGTGTGTCTGTGGTTGGTTTGGTTGGGTAGCGTACCGACACACTGGAAGGCTGGCGGTGTCCAGTATCCGTCGACACACCTGAGGGCGTCGCAGTCGGGCGTGCCGAAGTTGTCTGTCTTCCAGCCATCGGGGCCCTTCGACGGCCGCCCACACGACATGCGACGCCAGAAATGGGGGGCCACGTCTGGACTAAACGACGTGCGGCACCTGCAATGCACACACGCACACACACACACACAAGAGTGACATATATTCGTTCGTATGGTGGTGGTGTGGACGCACCCGAATTTGACGCAGGATCCATGTCTGGGGTATGCGCTGAGAGCGAGCTGAGCCTCGCGGGTCTCCGCCTGCCTGAAGACGTCCACAGAGTGTCCCGAGCATGCCGTCTGGTTGTCGATGTCATCGAGCGACTCGACGATCCTGTAGTTGTAGCGGACCGGATCCAACACCGTCTGCAGATCCTTGCACTGACCTGAGAAAGGAGAAGGAAGACGTGTGGGTCGGGTGTGTGTGTTGGGGGAGCTGGCATTGAATGCATTACGTACGGTGGCAGAAGAGTCCGCTGGTGGTGTATTCTCCGTTGCTGCACATGACCGTGCTCTGCTCGCCGCTGCCCGTGTTGTTGTAGTAGCCCTTCTCCGTCAGACAACGGACCACTATCTGCGTACCGTGCGGGACTGGCGCCTTCGGGGTGGGCTTGCTCACCACCACCATGCCCTCGGGCGGCACATACGTCTTGCAGGGAACTGGATGGGATGGATCGTCGACACACACACACACACACACACACATCCTTCCTGTCTATGTAACTCAACTCCTTCGCTCAGTGGCTCCCCTGCTGACTTTCGCATTTGACAAGTGGTGGGAATGGCGTCCACGTGCCGTTGGTGCAGACGGTGACAGCGCCGTCGAATCCCTCGGATATGCCGACGGCGCCCTGGGCCTTGTCACACTTGACCTCGATCTGTGCGCCGTGCCACGTGTTGCGTGGGTCATCCACTGTGCCGTTCGGGATGGGGCGCAGCCGATAGAGCTCAGGGTGCGGCGTGAAGGGCGGCAGCTTGCCACACGGACCTGGGAGCGGAGTCACGGGCACACCACAAAGATCCAATCACGTCATGATGTGTCTGTCCGTGTTTCTAACCACCGGACTTACTGTGGCATCTGATGGGCAGGTCCGAGTAGATGCCCCTGTCACACATGAAGGTCTCCTCCCTCCCCCTCTCCTCAATGGACCCCTTGCCGGGGACATAGCCATGCTCCACATTGCACTTGACATTGACCTTGGTGCCGTGCGGGTGGCTGCCCGCGTTGATGAGGGCCGACAGCTCGGTGGCGTCTGTGACTGTGAGCTCGGCGGACTCACTGGGCAGCTTGCGGATCTCTGGGAAGTGGTGTGGGTCGAGAGTGGCGGCGCGCACCGAGATCGACGTGATGATGTAGGCCTCGTTCATCAGGTACGAAGGCAGCTCGCGGCAGTCCCCTGATGGATAAATGGATTGATGGATGGATGGATGCAGCCAACAGGGTTCATGTGATGCCGTCTGTTCTGTGTGTCTTGTCTTGTCTTGTCTCCCCTGCCCGGCTGGCTGGCTGGCTGTCTGGCTGGCTTACTGCCGCAGACGAGCATTTGTAGCGACCATTTGCCGTCGTTGCAAGTGAGTGTGTCCTCCTTGCCGCCACTGACGGTGTGGAAGTGCATCTCCCTGTTGCACCGGATGGCCACTGTGCTGGCGTGCTTCATCTCCGACGACAAGGCGATGTCCGGCTCGGCGCGGTAGACGTCCTCCACAGTCAAAGGGGCCTCACCCTTGTGTGTGGGCGGCAGGGAAAGCGCCAACACCGGACAGTTTGCTGTCAACGGAAAGACACAGAGACACACACCTGTTTGTGTTGCGTGCCGACTGACCGCCCCGACCTTGGCACTGCAGTGCCAGCTCGGATCACTTGCCGTCTTGGCATTTGAGCACCTGCTCCTCGCCGTCCTGGATGCACACCACGCGGATCTCGTCGCCGTGCTTGTGCTTGGGCTTGGCCGCCAACTCATCCTGACTCATCGGCATCGTCTTGAACGCCGGAGGGACCCTCTCGGGCGCCGGGCAGTCAGCTGATGGATAGAGAACAGAACAAGACAGCGGCATGTGTGGCGAGGGAGCACTTGCATCCC